AATAAACACACACTTACCTGTCCCGGGGTCCAGTGATGTTCTCACCCGCACCATCCCTTCTCTCCTCCATGGCGCCAGCATCTCAACTGTGGGCTTGCGGCTTCACAGCTTGCGGCTTCACATCCTGGTGCCCACTGCGAATGCATGAGTTGCGCTGCGCCTCCTGATTGGTCCAGCAGTCTCCTGGGACCTGTCAAAGTTCCCAGGAGACTGCGGGAGGGAAGAGGGGTCCCAACTTCCGGCTCACTTCACCGTGGCGAACTGAGCCGAAAGTGGGAGCAAGTACCTGTCCACTCCCCCCTCCTCCCCAAAAGGTGCCAAATATGGCAGTGGAGGGGGGGAGGAGCCAAATAAGCAGAGCTTCCGCTTTTGAGTGGAACGCCACTTTAATGGTCCTGTAATCAATCTTTCATGAAGTTGTTTCTTACTATTTTATCTGCCTCCTTGTAGAAGCTGTGCACTATGTAACATTATATTATGGGGGTTATTTACTAACTGGAGAGCGCGCAAGATCAGGTGCAACTCTGCATAGAAGCCAATCAGCTTCCAGTTTTTATGTGAAAAAATCAATCAGTGCAGTTATATAATTCTAATATGACCCAAAACAGTGATTGCTGCTAAAATATCAGCCAGTGTTTTTTTTACCACACCTCTACATGCATATATCATACTTTTAGATGTAGCGCAATCCAGGTACATGAACAAAAACAAAACAAAAAGTCTTCAAATTTTATCCCAGATGTCATTAAACTAATCCTTCAGCAGTGTGCCATGATTTTATTGCTTCTTAGCTTCTAAAAATTCCATCCATGTGTCGCATGCTCCGCCCTGTGCTCATATCACACGCTCACCTTCTTTTATTGACCCCAATGATAAATTAAGGTCATAACATGCTTTTGGTCCCACCATGGGCTATTAGGTATTTGCTCTCCTTCAGGTTCTTGTTCTCCGCCAGCAATTCTCCACCAACACTATTATTATTATTATTTCTATACAGGATTTATATGGCGTCAACAGTTTGCTCAGCGCTTTACAATATAACGGGAGACAATACAGCAACAATACAGTTCAATACAAGAGGGATTTGAGGGCCCTGCTCCACGGAGTTTACAATCTAGGAAGGAGGGGCTAGTGGTACAAAAGGTAGTAACTGTGGGGGATGGACTGGTAGGAGGAATAGAAGATTCCGTTATTAGCTGAAGGCAGGATAGGTTTCCCTGAAGAGATAGGTTTTTCAGAGATCACCTAAAAGTGGGCAGAGTAGGCGATAGTCTGATAGATTGGGGTAGAGAGTTCCAGAGGATGGGGGAGGCTCTGGAGAAGTCCTGGAGACGAGCATGAGAGGAGGAGACAAGGGAGCTAGAGAGCAGGAGGTCATGTGAGGAGCGGAGAGGATGGTTTGGGTGATATTTGGAGACACGATTGGTGATGTAATTGGGGGCAGAGTTATAAATGGTTTTAATATGTTATTGTTCACTCTCCAGTAAATGTATATGTAAATACAAAATGGGACCAAAAATAGTGCTTATTCTTATTTTATTTCATTAACAATTCCCACATAAATACGTTCACATTAAAAAAGCACCCCAAGTGCTATGATAACAGCATAAATCCGCAAAGCTTTTGGCCAATGTCTGTGATCCATGGTCCGCCATATCCGTGATATCTTTCTCACCAGAGTGGCTCCTACTCCTATACACGTTACGCTCCTCTTACGAGCTTCTTCAGTACAAGCTCAGGGCAGAGCATGTGACACCCGGATGGGATTTGTAGAAGCTAGGGAGCATTAAGATCACTGCACACTACTGGAGGATTAATTTATAGACATCTGGGATAAAATGTGAAGCTTCCAGATTTATTGCCAAAGCATAACTGAACAAGCTGAATGGCTACCCCAGACTCAGTGCATCAGTTTTAGTAAATCAACCCCATTTATTCTTTATTACAGGTACTTATATAGCGCTGTCAATTTACACAGCACTTTACATATATATTGTACATTCACATCAGTCCTAACCCTCAAGGAGTGTACAATCTAAGGTCCCTAACTCACATTCATACATACACATACTAGGGCCAATTTAGACAGGAGCCAATTAACCTACCAGCATTTCTTTGGAGTGTGGGAGGAAACTGGAGTACCCGGAGGAAACCCACACAGGCACAGGGAGAACCTGGAAACTCGAGGCAGGTGGTGCTGTGGTTGGGATTTGAACCAATGACCCTAGTACTGCCAGGCAGAAGTGCTAACCATTTAGCCACTGTGCTGCCCATAACCCCATTGCATCATTTTGTATTTGGATTATATTATTGTAACATATGTTGTTGTATTTACTTTAATATGGTATTATATAATTTTATCATATCGTATTGTATTATATCAGTGTAACATATGGTATTATATCATTGTATCATGTTATATTGTATTGTTTGCATCATATGGTATTGTATCATGTTATATTGTATTGTTGCATCATATGGTATTGTATCATTGTAACATGTTATGTTGTATTGTATTGTTGCATCATATGGTATTGTATCATTGTAAATTGTACATGTTATTGTATTGTTGCATCATATGGTATTGTATCACATGTTATTATATCCTTGTATCATGTATTGTATTGCTGCATCATATGGTATTTTATCATTGTATCATTATTATTATTATTATACAGTATTTATAAAGCGCCGATAGTTCGCTCAGCGCTGTACATTACAATGGGGGACAGAACATGTGACAGAACAATACCAATACAATGCAAAACATGAGGAGATTGAGGGCCCTGCTCTTTCGAGCTTACAATCTAGGAGGGAGGGGATGGTGGCACAGGAGGAGATAGCTGTGGGGGATGGAGTGGTAGGAAGAGTGGAGGAGGTCGGCAAGTAAGTAGGGGGTGGGGTAGGCTTCCCTGAAGAGATGGGTTTTCAGGGTGCGCCTAAAGGAGAGGAGAGTAGGTGATAATCTGATGGGTTGGGGCAGGGAGTTCCAGAGGATGGGTGACACCCTGGAGAAGTCCTGCAGGCGGGCATGGGAGGAGGAGACCAGGGAACTAGAGAGAAGGAGGTCTTGTGAGGAGCGGAGTGTGCGTGCTGGGTGGTACTTTGATATTAGGTCGGTGATGTAGTTCGGGGCAGTATGGTGGACAGCTTTGTACGTCAGTGTTAGGATTTTGAATTTGATCCGTTGCGCAATTGGAAGCCAGTGAAGGGATTGGCAGAGGGGGGTGGCGGAGATGGAGCGGTTGGAAAGGTGAATGAGTCTGGCAGCCGTATTCAGGATCGACTGAAGCGGGGATAGCCAGCGGCGAGGCAGGCCAGTGAGGAGGGAGTTGCAGTAGTCGAGTCGTGATATGATGAGGGAGTGGATCAGCTGATTAGTGGTTTCTGGGGTTAGGAACGTGCGGATTTTGGCGATGCTGCGGAGGTGGAGTCTGCACGAGTTTGTTAAAGATTGGACTTGGGGCTGGAAGGATAGGTTGGAGTCCAGAATGACACCAAGTACTCTGGCTGCGGGGCGGGTTTGATGCATCATATGGTATTGTATCATTGTATCATGTTGTATTGTATTGTTGCATCATATGGTATTGTATCACGTTATTATATCATTGTATCATGTTGTATTGTATTGTTGCATCATATGGCATTGTATTAGTGAGTATTATTGCACCATTTCTCCACCTCTAGAAGCTGTGCACTTTAATGTATCATCCCTCCACCTGAAGAAGCTGAGCACTGTGCAATCTTATAATAATATATTATTGGATCACATGGTGTGCTGGTAGGTTAATTGGCTTCTGTCTAAATTGTCCCTAGTATGTATGAATGTAAGCTAGGGACCAGGGGCGGACTGACAACTCATGGGACCCCCGGGCAATAGGGGATCATGGGGCCCCTGTGTCCTCGACCACACCCACAAAAAGCCTATGAAAAAGTACCAGGAGCATCTCATAGGGCCCCCTACTGACCCCGGGCCCTCGGGCAGTGCCCGAGTTTCCAAATGGTCAGTCTGCCCCTTGAGGGTCAGGGACCGATGTGAATGTACAATATATATGTAAAGCGCAGCGTAACTTAACAGCACTATGTATGAGATGTGCGGTGTAGAGTGTATGGTATGACTCCTCCCCCTGTAGAAGGTGTGCGGTGTAGAGTGTATGGTATGACTCCTCCCCCTGTAGAAGGTGTGCGGTGTAGAGCGTATGGTAGGATTCCTCCCCCTGTAGGAGGTGTGGTGCAGAGTGTACTCTATGACTCCTCCCCCTGTGGGAGGTGTGGTGTAGAGCGTATGGTAGGATTCCTCCTCCTGTAGGAGGTGTGGTGCAGAGTGTACTCTATGACTCCTCCCCCTGTGGGAGGTGTGGTGTAGAGCGTGTGGTATGACTCCCTCCCCTGTAGAAGGTGTGCGGTGTAGAGTGTATGGTATGACTCCTCCTCCTGTAGAAGGTGTGTGCTGTAGTGTATGGTATGACTCCTCCTCCTGTAGCAGGTGTGGCACAGAGTGTATGCTATGACTCCTCCCCCTGTAGGAGGTGTAGCATAGAGCGTGTGGTATGACTCCTCCCCTTGTATGAGGTGTGGTGGAGGGTATGGTATGACTCCTCCTCCTGTAGGTGGTGTAGAGTGTATATGACTCCTCCCCTTGTAGGAGGTGTGGTGGAGGGTATGGTATGACTCCTCCTCCTGGAGGTGTCGTGTAGAGCGTATGGTATGACTCCTCCCCCTGTAGGAGGTGTCGTGTAGAGCGTATGGTATGACTCCTCCCCCTGTAGGAGGTGTGCGGTGTGTACAATACATTCTATTCTTGCATCATTCGGTAACATTGTGTCATTCGCTGTTCGCTATAATCATGTCGCACACGGGGGCGGGGCAGAGAAGTTTTTTTTCTCCTCTCATTCATCAGCAGGGAAAACGCCTCCAGCGCCAGCCAATCACAGCCCGGCCTGGCCGGCGCTCCGCTGATATAGCGGACCGTTCTCATCCACTCCTCGCATATCGGCAGCATGGAGAACCCGGATCGGAGTAGGTGTGTGAACCGGGGCTACCTGGAGCCCTTCCGACACTTCGCCACCCAGGCCATCCACAGCGGGCAGGAGCCGGAGCAATGGAAGTGCATGGCGCTGGTGCCGCCCATCTCCCTCTCCACCACCTTCAAACAGCTGAGCCCGGGGGAGCACGCGGTGAGCGGGCAGCCTATGTGTGTGGGGGGAACCCCCCCGAGTATACGTGATGTGGGGGGAACCCCCCGAGTATACGTCATGTGTAATAGATGTATATAATTGTGTCATCATGTAGAACTTCCGTCAGCCAGCTGCTGCAGAACCTCTTGTGTCTCCAGCTGTCAGTCATTGCCATGCTCCTCTGGTCAGTGACACGGTGACGTCACACTTAATGTGCGTTAATGTGCGTTGCGTTCTGGCCGTGTCCTGAAAACCCGATCCTTTTTTGTAATGTAAACTTGTGGTACTCTACAATAAAAATGCGTTGTGTGCTATGTGAATATCAGTGCTGTAACGTGCGTTTCTGCAACATAGAAGTCTAAAATGGGACTTGTTAGTCCCACAACTATGTGGTGGCAACACATGTTTGCTTTTTTTATTTTTCTGCGTGTTTCATGTGTGTTGCGTCAGGGTAGCCCATTCCTCACATTAAGGGCTTGTTCACTTGGGCAGCAGTAAAACTAGGCGGTTGAGCCACACTTTTACCACTCCCATGGCACAAATGATCCCTTATGTTGCATTCAGTGGGCAGTACTGCCCCCAAATGTGAACTATTCATGTAAATTGTGCCATGCCACAAATTCTAGGCTCGCTGTTGCAGCAATGTATTCCCATTCAAAATCCATGATTAGCTGCCAAAAAAAGTTATTCTGGCAGCCACTGCTGTACCATTCTTAGAAGACGATCCACCATGGATGGCTTTTCCAAGGGGTTGCTCATGTGAATGAGCCCTAAAGACATCCATAACCCCCCCCCTTTTTTACAGATCTTGCCATAAAATATGGTGCTAAAATACTATGCGTTCTGGTGTGATTTGGTGCACGTGCGTTGTCAGGATTGTCTTCGGTGTCATTTAGAATGAACGGCACCACAGGGTCTCTGCCAAAAAGAAACGTGGGCAATCTGGTGCGCAATCCCGGTGAACGAAGGCTTACCCGTATAGATTCTTCCATCCACGCTACACAGCGCAGAATGAACAAATCTCCCATTGTGAGTGTTGTAGCCCCTCCTGCTGTCAGAATGCCTAAGCAGTACTTGCATCTGATTGGATGCAGGAACTGTCCAGCTGGCAACTTTCCACCCCTCTCCTTTGAGTTGACAAGCGTTAGATGTTCCCCATCATTGGGGCAAAATTGTCACCTTTCCGTGCGTTAACAATGTGCATGAAACTGTTTTCATTGGGTTTCCCGCATTGCTATTATCAGTAGGCGCTTTAACACACATCAGTGCATCAAACAACCACTATGAACGTTTTCCACCAATGCACGTGGCACAAATGTTAACTCGTGCTATTTAAAACAATGGCTGACCTGTATAAAGAATGCATAGGTGGGGACTGTCCCTTGCCAAACCATTCCAGCACGAACTGTCTCGTTGTTTGCGTTAGAAATAAAAAGTTGCTGAGTTTTCTGACCATGCGTGATGGAAGAATAGCCTCCATCTTGTATTTTCACTGGGACAGTTGCCACTACTGACCACCCTAGGTGCTTATCTGGACCAGGGATGGACTGACCATTTGGAAACTCAGGTCAGTAGGAGGCCCCATGAGATGCCCCTGGTACCTTTTCATAGGCTTTTTTTGCGTTTGGCCAAGGACACGGGCCCCATGATCCCCCTATTGCCCGGGGGGGCTCTATGAGATGCCCCTGGTACCTTTTTCATAGGCTTTTTTTGAGTTTGGCCAAGGACACGGGCCCCATGATCCCCCTATTGCCCGGGGGGGCTCCATGAGATGCCCCTGGTACCTTTTCATAGGCTTTTTTGCGTTTGGCCAAGGACACGGGCCCCATGATCCCCCTATTGCCCGGGGGGGCTCTATGAGAGATGCCCCTGGTACCTTTTCATAGGCTTTTTTGAGTTTGGCCAAGGACATGGGCCCCATGATCCCCCTATTGCCTGGGGGGGCTCTATGAGATGCCCCTGGTACCTTTTCATAGGCTTTTTTGAGTTTGGCCAAGGACACGGGCCCCATGATCCCCCTATTGCCGGGGGAGCTCCATGAGATGCCCCCTGGTACCTTTTTTTCATAGGCTTTTTTAAGTTTGGGCAAAGACACAGGGGCCCCATGATCCCCTATTGCCCAGGGGCCCCATGAGTTGTCAGTCTGCCCCTGATCTGGACTTCATTTTTCTGCCATGGTGGAGATCAGGTCCATAGGGGAGGCCAGGTCTGAAGGAGGCTAATGTGTTTAAAAAGAAAATTATAGGATGGAACTGTCCCTTTTTTTCAAAACAATTCCAGCACGATCTTTCAGTTGGAAATAAAAAGTTGCTGAGTTTTCCAACCATACATGATGGAAGCATAGTCACCGTCTAGTATTTTCACTGGGACAATTGCCACTACTGAACACCCTAGGTGTTTGTTGGACTTTGGATTTTCTGCCAAGGTGGGGTCAGGTCCATAGGGAGGCTAGGTCCATAGGAGGCTAATGTGTTTAAAAAATTCATTGGTGGGAACTGTCCCTTGCCGAAATTTCCAGAACTGTCTCATTGTTTGGGTTCGAAATAAAAGTTGCAGAGTTTTCCGACCTTGTGTGATTGAAGAATAGTCAACATCTGGTATTTTCAGTGGGACAGTTGCCACTACTGACCACACCAGGTTTTTTTTCTACCTGTGTTTTTTGCCAAGGTGGGGTCAGGTCCATAGGAGGCTGATGTGTTTAAACAATGCATAGGTGAGAATTGTCCCTTGCCACAAATTTCCAGCATTAACTGTTGTGGTGTGTGGGTTTTTTTTTTTTTTTTTTTGAGTTGGAAATATAAGTTGCTGAGTTTTTCCCGACTGTGTGTGATGGAAGAATGGTCCCAGTCTGGGACAGTTGCCACTACTGTCCACCCCAGGTGTTCAGCTGGACTTGGCTTTTCCACCATGGTGGAGATCAAGTCCATAGGTAGCCAGGACCATAGGAGGCTAATGTATTTAGAAAAAAAAAAAAATGCATATGTGGGAATTGTCCCTTGCTGTAAATTTTCAACACTTACTGTTTTATTTGAGCTGAAAACAAAAGTTGCTGGTTTTCCAACCATGCATGATAGAAGAATAATCACCGTCTAGTATTTTGGGTGGAACAATTGCCACTACTGACCACCTCGGGTGTAAAGCTGGACTTGGAATTTTCTTCCCTAGCAGAGATCAGTTCCTTTAAAAGGACAGGACCATAGGAGGCTAAAGTATTTAAAAATTGCGTAGGTGGAAATTTGTCCCTTGCTGAGAATTTCCAGCACTTACTGTCTCATTGTTTGAGTTAGAAACAAAAGTTGCCAAGTTTTTTCCGATCATGCATAATGGAAGAATGGTCATCTTGTATTTTCAGTGGGGCTATTGCCACTACTGACCACCCAAGGTGTTTAGCTGGACTTGGATTGTCCACCATGGTGGAGATAGAGCCCATGGTGGGTAAAGTTCATAGTAGACAAAGTCCTAAAGTTCTTCCAGGAAAAGACTCTCAAACTATAATCACACCTGTATTGGGGGGGGTTAAAAAGCTTTGCTGTATTGTGGTCAGGCCTATTGACCAAAAGCTTCTGCTGTCACAACCCCCACCCGCCTGTTAATTGTGTACAGCTCTATAGACAAAAATCGAGAACCAGTAGCTTCCAGTGGGCTCTGTATGCCCAGTGATGTGGCTGTTGTATAGATGATCTGCATGATGTGACGTTACATTAGGCAGTGATCTGCTAAGTCACTGTAAATCAGCACTTTGTAGTAGCTGCAGGTGACTGGTGGGTGACTGGCGCCCCCATAAGGCTGGACTAGAGCTTGCTGCTGAGATCTACATATAAAGAGCTTTTAATCAACTGATCATTTAACTAGAAGAACATTTGTAACTTTCTAGCTGAGCTACAGATCTCAGTTATGAGTTTTCGTGCAATAATGTTATAGTGCAAATGTACCTTGTAGCACTCTTGCCTTGCAGCACCGGGGTTCATGATTTGAATCCTGGTTATTTGGATCCTGTTGAAGGATATCTCAGCAGAATCTTGCTGACAGATCTTGCAATAAAAACAATTGTGTGTAATAGTTAGTAACATGCTATACTATACATGTTCCCATGTGAAATGTTCTTCTTGCATTCCTTCAGTTCGGTTTGCATGTCTCTAGCTTGATCTTCAGTCTCAGAATGGTAAATGTTTGTGTAAGCTGGTGCATTCATTTCCATGAGTACACAAATTACTGACACGACACAGGTTTTTCTACTTTGATTTTATGCAGCTGAATTCCCGGAACAGAAATTTCCTATTAAAATGGGATTCATGTAGTTAAAAGAACTCCTTTAAACAAAAATATGTTGTATATAAATCTGCAACACCAGCTATTTTATAATTTAGTCCCAGTTCACACAAGAACGCAGTGTGGGGAACGTGCGATCTGTGTGAATTTCCCACAGTGTTCTGAATGCACTGCCCTTGCGACCTGCAGTGTCAGTGAAATGTGAATGACACCCCAAATGCATTCAAAACAAACGGGATCGTATCGCACTGACGCGCATGTGAATTGCACAGGAATGTGACGCACATTCCTGTGCGATTTCATAGGCAACTCATAAAAAAAAAAAAAAAAAACTTGGCTAGAAGATGCAACCAATTGCTGGGCTATGCACATAAAAAATTTGTGGAGCTCGATTTTTAGTTTGGTAAGGTGCCCAACAAATTCAGCTATCTACACTTGCAGGTGCTGGTAACATGGCGGGCAGTAATAGTTTAATGTTCACCCGGTACACTCTGCTTGGAAACTTGCCCAAGGTTATAACACGTCGGCGTTTAACTTTGGTGCAACGTCTCACTACTAACTATAAAGTGACGCCTCCTCTCAAAAAAAGAAGTCTGTGTGCATTCCTGTGTGATTTTCACAGGGGTGGATTTGCTAAAGGCAAATGGGACTGTGCACTTTGCAGGAACTGCTCCAGAGCTTGGTAAATAAAGGGAAGCTCTGCTGACTTCCATCATCCAATCATGTGTAAG